TGCTTTTTGAACAAAACTATTTTTTTTACGTCTGATAACATGTCCGGAAAAGTAATAATAATTAGTATTATTATTAATAAAACATATAGACATAACTGTTTAAAATGCAAAAAAACTATTAAAAGTAATTATGTAAAAAGTCAAACAAGTCTAAATATTCACACATATGTTCAAAAGTTGTAATTTTTTTTAATAGCTGCATTCAATTTTGTTTGATCAGAAATACAGTAATATTGTGAAATATTAGTACAGTTTAAATTTGGGGTTTGTTTTCTATTTGAATATATTTGAAAATGTAATTTATTCAGTCTTCAGTGTCACATGATCCTTTAGAAATCATTCTAATATGATGATTCTGCTCAAGAAACTTTGCTTATTATCAATTATAGTTGTGATGCTTCATATTTTTAAATGGAAACTACTTTTTTTTTAGGATTCAGTCATGTACGGAACGGTACGGAAGCATATTGCATTCACTTGAAGAAAAAAAATCTACTCTGTTTTTCTGAATTAGCAAGTTCATTATCTCAAAATTACGAGAATTTTTCATGGAAAAAAAGTTTTTGCTCTGTTTTTCTGAATTAACGAGTTAATTATATCAAAATTACGAGAATTTTTCATGGAAAAAAGTTTTTGCTCTATTTTTCTGAATTAACGTGTTCATTATCTCAGAATTACGAGAATTTTTTATGGAAAAAAATATTGCTCTGTTTTTCTGAATTTTTTGATTGATTTGATTTTTTTTTTAAAAACTCATTAATTCAGAAAAGCAGAGCAAATACTTTTTCCCCATGAAAAATGATCTCGTAATTCTGAGATAATAAACTCGTTAATTCAGAAAAAGAGCAAATACTTTTTTTCCATGAAAAATTCTCCTAATTTTGAGATAATGAACTTGTTAATTCAGAAAAAGAGCAAATACTTTTTTCCATGAAAAATTCTCCTAATTTTGAGATAATTAACTCGTTAATTCAGAAAAAACAGAGCAAAAACTTTTTCTCCATGAAAAATGATCTCGTAATTTTGAGTTAATTAACTAGTTAATTCAGAAAAACAGAGCAAATACTTTTGTCCATGAAAAAAATCTCCTAATTTTGAGATAATTAATTCATTAATTCAGAAAAACAGAGCAAATACTTTTTTCCATGAAAAATTCTCTCGTAATTCTGAGTTAATTAACTTGTTAATTCAGAAAAACAGAGCAAATACTTTTGTCCATGAAACAATTTCCTAATTATGAGATAATTAACTTGTTAATTCAGAAAAACAGAGCAAATACTTTATTCCCATGAAAAAAAATCTTGTAATTTTGAGATAATTAACTCGTTAATTCAGAAAAACATAGCAAATACTTTTTTCCATGAAAAATTATCTTGTAATTATGAGATAATTAAATCGCTAATTCAGAAAAACAGCAAAAACTTCTTTCCCATGAAAAATTATCTCGCAATTCTGAGATAATTAACTCGCTAATTCAGAAATACAGAGTAGATTTCGTTTCCTCAAGTGAATGCAGTACACTTCCGTATGTTCCCTGTACAATGTAATTATTACAGTAATTACAATAACTATAGGTACTAACCCCGAACCTACTCCTATTGTAAACTTAACCTCTGTAGTTACCTCATTTTATTTTACCCAGTATTTTCTTAGGTAAGCAAACTGTTAAGATGACAAAAAATAAAGTGTAACCAGATTCGTTAAGCTCAAAAGAACATCACTTATTTGAATTAGAAACTTTTGTAACATTATAATGCCTTTGCTGTCAATTTTGATCAATTTAATGGGTCTTTTTAAAATAAAACTATTCATTTCCTTCTTAAAAAAAACGTTTCAACTAATTGCACAAAGAACTAGAGAATAACAGTTCTTTTTGGAAAAAATAATTTAAAAGCCTTTTGCTTTTAATTAGAACCTCTATTTTAAAAGTGAAGGTGATGTGATAATATGCTAATCTTCTGAGTTTCGTGCTGTTTTAGATGAAATGTAGCCCCTTTTCCCCTTCTGTGACTGTGGTAATTAAGAGCTCTTTGAAGCCTGGGGATTTATACAGTATGTCATTCTTTAGAGAGAGTAGTTGACAAGTCTTTTATAGATGGAGACCTGAACGTAAACTTTAGATAATCAGCTACACAGTAAAAAAAAAAGGGAGTTTCATTGGTAAGAAATGCAATTTACCACATAAAACGCATGTTAGACCTGGAGTATGATCAGAGTCTGCAACAGGCAATTTCATATTGCAGAATATCCCTGATTTGTTAAAGACCGCCTGTAGTGAAAATCAAGTGGTGTTCTTGTATCAAGTGGCTAGTTCACCAAAAAAAGAAAATTCTGTCAGTAATTACTCACCCTCATGCTGTTCCAACCCCGTAAGACTTTCGTTCATCTTCGCAACACAAATTAAAATATTTTTGATTAAATCTGAGAGCTTGATCACTCCTACATAGGCTTCTAAGGGATTGAAACTTGCCGGCACAGAAAAAGTTTGTAAAAACATCATTAAAATAGTCCAAGTGACTACAGTGGCTCAACCTTAAAGGGATACTCCACTTTTTTTTGGAAATAGGCTCATTTTACCACTCCCCCAGAGTCAAACAGTTGAGTTTTCCCGTTTTCGAATCCATTCAGCCGATTTTCTGATATTTAGAAGAATATCAGTAACCAGACAGTTTCTGGTCCCATTGAATTCCATATGGATGTCAATGGGACCAGAAACTGTCTGGTTACTGATATTCTTCTAAATATCAGAAAATCGGCTAAATGGATTCGAAAACGGTAAAACTCAACTGTTTAAAGGGACACTCCACCATTTAATTTTTTATATGTTTTAGCTTACCTCAAGGGCATCCGAGATGTAGGCGTCTTTGTTTTCCACAGTGTTTTCAAGTTTGATATTTTTCGCTCAAACCGTTGTTGTCTGTCAGTCATAATGGAGGTTTAGGGGGTCCACCTCAAAGAGCATGCACAGAGAAGTCCAAATTAAACAAGATTTAATTATGCGAATGACGCTTCCGTGTGTGCGTCACTCATTGTTTACACAGAGATTTCGGAAGTGTTACCTTTCACTGTGAAGATCTAAACATATTTAGATATACAGGAAATTGCAATGGAAGACGATTTCGATATATCTAAATATGTTTAGTGAAAGGTAAAACTTCCGAAATCTCCGTGTAAACAATGAGTGACGTACACGCGCAAGCAATCACTTCCGGCGCATGCGCAGACCGAAGCACCCGTGCCGCGTCATATCAGTTAGACATGGCTGTGGTTACAAGAGGTAAAACCTCTCGTTTCGTGTCTTAGGCCATCAATGTGTACTTACATTTACGAGTCATTAAATCATGTTTAATTTAGACTTCTCTGTGCATGCTCTTTGAGGTGGTGACCATAGACCTCCATTATATGACTGACAGACAAGAACGGTTTGACTGAAAAATATCCAAATTAAAACTACTGTGGAAACAAAGACACCTACATCTTGGATGCCCTTGAGGTAAGATAAAACATACCAAACATTAATTTCAAAGTGAACTATCCCTTTAATATGAAAAAACGGTGGAGTAACCCTTTAACTCTGGGGAGTTGTAAAATTATGCTATTTCCAAAAAAAGTGAAGTATCCCTTTAAATTTATTAAGAGATGAGAATACTTTTTGTGCGCAAAAATAACAACTCTATTCAACTATTCATTTTCTCTTCTGTGTTGTACGTCACACGCATCACACACATGACCAGCGTCGGCCAATAGTGAGCCTGCATTCTGACGTACAACACAGAAGCGCTGCGCTGTTGCACTACGTGAGCTCACTCGAGGCCCACACAGAAGAAAATGAATAGTTGCGTACAAAAATTCTCGTCTCTTGATAAACTTAAGGTTGAGCCACTGTAGTCACATGGACTATTTTAATTATGTTTTTACAAACTTTACTGGGCTGACAAGTTTCAATAACATACAAGCCCATGGAGGAGGGAGACAGCTCTCAGATTTCATCAAAAAATATCTTAATTTGTGTTCCGAAGATGAATGAAAGTCTTACGAGTTGGAACAACATGAGGGTGAGATTTTTTTTTTTTGGGTGAACTAACCCTTTAAGATGCTTTAAGACAAATTCATCAGTCCATGCTATTGCTGAGTTTCTCCTTAAAACTGCAGTGTAACAAAGACAGTCCTAAAAGCGTGGTTCTATATATATTATATATATTTTCATATTCTTGAATCTGCGTATACATAATGAAGTAATGGTGTAGTTACAATTAAGCTATTTTAAAGCATGAAGAACTGATTTTCAAGAGGAAGTTTTTTTTAAATATGTCAATTTAATTATCTAAGAAGAGTTTTAAGGGATAAAATGATTGACTGCAGGGTGACTCCCAGCATGCACTGCATCACAAATAAATTATGCAGTTAGTGTTATAGGAATTTTTCCTATTCAGTATTAATACATTTATGCGCTTGTTGTGGGACTGACACATCATGTGTTTGGTTTGGGAGACTATTCTATTCTATTCTACTTTATAAGAGTCATATAAATTGTGCTGAAAGAATGGTGACGATTAATTTTATTGTGTTGCTAATTTATACTTTGTTAATGAGGAAAGGTTCAGTTTACTAAAAAAATAATTAATTGGCTAAATTAGACATGAAGATTCAAATTGGTTAAAGTTGCATTACTGGGCGCAATTATTAAGAAACTAATTTCACACGCTAGTTTTTAAATCAGAGATAGAGGGAATGTTCCATTGATGTCTATTGTTCTTTAATTAACATAACTGTAATTAGTACAAGCTTTTGGCCTAGTTTCATATAATATAATTCACAATTTAGTCATTTTATGAAGCCGTTTTCTTTGTAGCAACTCCCAGGTAGGTTTGTGAAGGCTCAAAGCTGACACACACATATAGAGGCCTTTCTTTTTAAACAGATGTCTTTTCTACCTTGACACACACACGCTCACACACACCAGTGTGATATATGAGGAACAGAGCTATCATTCTGTCAGGCTACGCACCCACAATTTAATTGGAAAACATGGCTCATCATTTAAACAAGACATTCGTATGGTTTCGTCCGAATGACAATAAATCACCATAAATGTGCCATTTTCAGCTCTATCCATTTTTAAAACGCGTCACGTCTGCACAGGTCTCGGCGGTCCCGGCCCCTCCAGCGATATGAAGATCCCATCACACGAAATCTGCACATGCTCAGGAATATCAGGAGCGATCGAGAGAGCAGAGCCGCTGTAAAGAAGCAGGTTCTCAAATGATTCAATCTAATTGATTCACAAAAATTCATAATTCGAATTTTAAAGTGCCCTTATTATGCTTTTTCTGGATATTACCTTTGATGTAGTGTGTAATAAAACCGTTTGTGAATATAAAAGGTCTGCAAAGATCAAAGTGCAAGACAAATTTAGTTATGGTCTCCCGAAAGAAAGAACTGATTCTGGAATTCCTGACACAAGTCGTTCCAGTCTTTGTAACGAATTTGGAAAATGCCAGCCGAGAATGACGTCTACTTTGACCCTCAAGCACTGTAGTTGTAGCTGAGGCCTGGAAGAGTTTGGTTCGTGTTCGACACATCAAGATGTTTTCTTCACTGCAAAAGCAAATTCCATTTGCTGCACTTCCAAAGGACGAAGACTCAAGCCGAATTGATACGATAAAACATGAAGCTGTTCATATCACGGTCCACAAGTGTTCAGATATGCTAATCGTTTTGTTTACAACACATGCTGTAAGTCAGAGACCAATCACAACAGACTGGGTCATCGGACCAATCAGAGCAGAGTAGGCTCTCAGAAAGGCGGGGTTTAGTGAGACTGAATCCTTTATCGAACCGTTTCAGACACTGTGAGAAAGAGCTGATGTTACAACGTACACTCTTAGAAAAAAGGGTTCATTGCGGTTCTATATATGAAGCACAGGGTTCTTAACTCAACTCCAAAGAACCTTTTATGCTAAAAAGGTTCTATAACGACAAGAAAGAATCCTTTTGGCACAAATGTTCATTCATATATTACATTGTTCTGCAACATTTTGTAGTTGTAATTAAATTATTGTTTATTAAACTGTTGTAGTAATGTCATGCTGATTTTTGGGGAGAAAAACTGAAATGGCACTCTTTGTGTGATATTTACGGAGGCGTATTGCATTCACTTGAAGAAAAAAAAAAATCTACTCTGTTTTTTGAATTAACGAGTTAATTTTTCATGAGAAAAAAAAATTTGCTCTGTTTTTCTGAATTAATGAGTTAATTTTTAATGGAATTTTTTTTTTGCTCTGTTTTTTTGAGTTAATGAGTTAATTCAGAAAAACAGCAAAAATAAATTCTCATGAAAAATTAACTCATTAATTCAGAAAAACAGAGCAAATTTTTTTTCTCATGAAAAATTAACTCATTAATTCAGAAAAACAGAGCAAATTTTTTTTCTCAAGAAAAACTAACTCATTAATTCAGAAAAACAGAGCAATTTTTTTTCTCATGAAAAATTAACTCATTAATTCAGAAAAACAGAGCAAAAACTTTTTTCTCATGAAAAATCAACTCATTAATTCAGAAAAACAGAGCAAAATTTTTTTCTCATGAAAAATTAACTCGTTAATTCAGAAAAACAGAGCAAAAACTTTTTTCTCATGAAAAATTAGCTCATTTATTCAGAAAAACAGAGCAAAAAAAATTCTCATGAAAAATTAACTCGTTAATTCAGAAAAACAGAGCAAAAAAATTTTTTCTCATGAAAAATTAACTCATTAATTCAGAAAAACAGAGAAAAAATTTTTTTCTCATGAAAAATTAACTCGTTAATTCAGAAAAACAGAGTAGATTTTTTTTCTTCAAGTGAATGCAATACGCCTCCGTAGATATTGATTAACTACATAAAATTATATAAATATATACATTTTCTAACCCCCATATCTTGAATTTTGTGATCATTCACATGCATTCATAAATACAATAGGGTCTTGATGTTTGTCAATAATATGAAATATTTAATCCGGAAAGGACAAAACAAATGATAATGAATGAACCCAAAAGGTTCCATATAGAACCTTTTTACTGGTTCCATAGAACCCTAAAGGGTTCTTATTATTGAACCCTTAAAATTGTTCTGTATGGAACCTTTTAGGGGTTCCAAATACGTAGCGCTGATAGAACCTTTTAAGGTTCTAAATAGAACCTTTTCTTCCAAGAGTGTATATTATGAGAAAATGAAAGTGTTTTTTGACCTTGCATGTAATCATTTTGTAGGAGATTTCCAAAACAATATTAGGAGCCTTTAAAATAGCATAATAGGGGCATTTTAAATGATGAATTATTCAGTTTATACTAGAAAAGTCAGTGCAGACATATTTTACTTTGGCTTTTGGGCAGGTTATTGAGTTGTAAAAGCATTTTTAGAGTTGGATCATGGCCAAATCATGACCTGAATCGAATCGAATCATAAGGTTCAGAAAGCTTCCCTCCATTAATGTACACAGGATAAAGGGATGCTTTTCCCGAATTCCCGTCAGGTCTGAACCCAGATTATTTTAGTTGCTATGTGTTTGATGTGTAAAATCACCAGAGGAAACTCAATCTTATTCCCCACTGTTGTATTTTCAGTTTCCTAATTATCTCTGTTTTAGTATTTGGATCTGATGAAAGCCCAAGGCAAAAATAAAATAAGCAGTAGCATGTTTACTAGAGAAGAGGAAAACTGAAAATAATATTAACACACACTGCATGGTAAATAATATTCTGCCGAAAATGTGAATAACAGGCTGCTCTGATGATTGATAGTGGTGTCCAAAAGTCTCAGAGCACTCGTAAAAATTGCTTTTCCCCGCAATTCAATACATTATAAATATATATCACATTTAAACCTAAAAATAAACAGGTGTATAAACACTTTGCAATTATATTATCATCAAAAAATTTGAGTGAAAAAGTACATGATATTCAGAAATGTCAATTTTTTTAAATATTGTAGCCTATATTTTGAGTTCACAGTGGCTGCTGCATAAACTCCAGTTTTGTGTAAACCATTTAATTATAATATATTTCTTTAAGTCCAATCTGTTTATTTTCAGGTTTAAATTTGATTTTGTCTCAGACTTTTGGACCCCACTCTATACAAATACATAAAATGCGATAGTTAATATGGTGAAATAAGAAAATAAATCACTCATATTCCCATATAGATATAAATATGTATTACATCAGCCAAGAAATTCACTAGACGGCAGAACATATTTTATAAAATAAATGTCTGTATATGCATTATTTTGATGTTGATGCAATAAAAACGAAGGTTTTATTTAGACCTGAGAGCACGAGACGCTGCACATCATACATATTTGCATATGAAAGTTGTTTGCTCCGGATTTTTCAGACTGACGCGCTTGATCACACGTGCTTGTTTCTTCCTCCTGAGACTGAGGTATTGAGCACATTAGTTTTCTGCTACCACTCCGAATGCATTGCGCTTTAAACACCGCTTGTTGCCATGACTACAGGTTGCCTTCCAGATTTTCAGACGTGCACCTTTCAACCCACCGCACCACATCATAGATAAACTTTGTATCATAGCTGAAGTGATCAGCTTCTTTTAGGCCAAATGTTCTATAATCTCGAGAGGGTTGTGTTCCTATCCCTCGGCTCAGGACTGTTGCCCTCTACAGGCTCACTGGGTCCACAGCTGTGGTTCAGAAGCAGCCCGATGCCCGGTGGGAGCATCCAAGGACATCATGAGGAACAGCTGAGCTCAGGTCTCTTAAAAAAAGAACAACTAGAACAACACAAGCCTTAAATAAAGCAGCTGAATTTTACAGAAGCCTCTCAGATGTGTGTGTTTCTGCTGATGCACTATGAATGACCAACTGGCCCTAAAGTTGGCTGATTGGTTAAAGACAAATTCTGGGATCAGTTGAGCTCCAAAATAGCTTCAAGTATCCCTTATTTTCTTTAGAAAAAAATCAGTGATTAAGGTTACAGTGATTAATCGCAATTAATCGATTTGACAGCACTAACACACACACATTGTATTGTGGCATGAGAGAGCTTGTTAGAGGGCAGATACATTGCCCTAAGATGGCGTCTTGTTAAGCTGTTATTACCAACACCCAGGTCACCAAACGGGGGAACTAGGGGGCAAGTTTGCCGCATACTAACTGTGCGTTCACACCAGACGCGAATAGCGCGTCAAATTCGCGCCTACCGCATCTAGTTTTACGCTAGAGCCAGACCGATATATCGGCAGGCCGTTATTATCGGCCGATATTAGGCGTTTTCCAAACTATCGTATCGGCGGTTATAATGGCCAATAAATGAATATTTCAAAAATAAAATAAAAACGGACGAAACACGCTTGAACCATGTCATGAGTGTTGGAGTTGTATAGTTTGTCTACCAGAGGGCACTCTACACCCTGTTGGCAACACTCGTTGAGTTGGTCACGAGACGTACATTGCTTGAATAACAATTAAAAGAACATCCCCATCAGTTCTCTTAACTCAAATAAGCATGACAAAATTCGTGACTATCATGTCCAGTTTTGCTGCTGTTAAATAAGCCGAGAGTGAAGTTGTATTAGCTAGTAATAATTATGTTACGTTGTTACAGTGTAGTTGACTGACTGTCCTTTTAACTTTTGTCAATGTGATTCTGTATTTCTGTAATAGCGCGTGACAGTTATAGCAATTTGACGGATCTCTCCTTGGCCTGAAAATGTATGTTTTACAATTTGCAGTATTATGTAATCCATTTCTAAATTATGGCTCATCATAGACTAGCTAAACACAAAGCTAGCTAATGCCACCATCATCAGTCTGTTCTGTTGTGACAATAAAAAAAACAAGTTTCTTTTTAAAATGCATTATCATATTATTTAAGTTAAAACTCATAAATAACTACAAATAACTAATGTTACGGAAATCTGTTAATGTTTTGTTGCGCGTTTCTGAAATAAAAAAAATAAAAAATATCGGCCGAAATATCGGAATGACGGATTTTAAAAACAAAAAATATTTGTATCGGTATCGGCCTTCAAAATCCTTTATCGGTCGGCCTCTATTTTACGCTTGAACACTTTGAGCCCAATTTTGCTCTTAAAGGGTTAGTTCACCCAAAAATGAAAATTAAGTCATTAATTACTCACCCCCATGCTGTACCAACCCTGTAAGACCTTCGTTCGTCTTCGGAACACAAATGAAGATATTTTTGATTAAATTTGAGAGCTGTATAACTACCACATTGGCTC